CCCTTATGGATACTCCTTCAACTATAACCAAATAGAAGAGGAAGATGATGTATTAAGAAAGATGATTATGGTATTTTAAGAAAAACGTGTCACATTTTTTATAATTAACTAACTTACCTAACTTCCTTAATCTAATCAAATTAGTTAAATGGATCTTATATTAAGGACCGGAAGAGTATTATAAAAATAGAATTAAAAAAAAATTAACCTACCGTTAAGGTTTACGTGGCTAACTTCGCCGGGCGGGGGATCCGCCGTTGTGGCCTTGTGGAGATTTGGTGGACATATTTCGGCACAAGGAGCCAACAATTATTTTATTTTTAAAAATAAAAAAGGATAATTGCCATTGGGCCGGCCAATTGAGTATGATGCAGAGAATCATTACCCAGGGTGTGAGAGAATCCACGTGCTGAGACACGTGGAGACAAAGTCGTTCGTCAAAATTCAGACATGTCGGTGTCATATTTCCACGTAGCTTTGTCGTTATCCTACCGGATATACCAATGTCGAATAAACAACTTAGCGAGGGAGTTGCGTTCACGTACATACGCGCTTATTCTATGCATGCATCACGGTTCGGGGGATTCTTTGACTTTTGACCTCATCTTTTTGGTCAAACGAATCCTTGAATCCATTAGGATCCAACCTACGGGACGTTCCTTCGTTAAAGTTTATCCCATGTTTATTTTCAATATGCTCCCTCTGTCTCCTGTATTTAATACTCTTTCAATTCTTAATATAAAATATATTTAACTAATTTAATTAGATTAAAAAAATTAAATAAGTTAGTTGATTATAAGAGATGTGATATGTTTTTTCTAAAATACCATAATCATCTTTCTTAATACCCCTTTCCATCTTCTACTTAATTATGGTTGAGGGAGTATCCATAGAGGTAATTTAGAAAAAATTGATAAATATGAGAAATGATTCTTATATTTAGAATTAAAACCAACTCAAGAATTGGATTCTATATTAAGAACCATAGGAGTATAAGATTTTATTTAATTTTTATTTTAATTCTAAATGCGATATTCTAATTTATTTTGTTTTTTATGCTTATATTTTTTTTAAGATAATCTTTCTAATAATAACAATTCTAATCAATACACTTGATTAGTGAGGATATTTTAAAAAAGAAAACATTTATTTATTACAAATAACTACCTTAACTTATTTTTTTGATCTACTAGTATTAGTTAACTAACTCTCATATTTAGAACCGGAGGTAGTATTTTGCTGGTAATTATACTTTGTTTTTAATTTCTAATTTAATACCTGTATATTTCTATTTTTTAATTAGATGTTTTCATTTTGCCATTTTAGCATTGTTAACTTGTGTACAGGGACTAACAATACTAAAATTACAGGAGCTAAACATATTAATTGTGGAGTTTATAATTTTTTTTGGAGTTTATAAATTTAAAAATAATTTATTGGCCGATAATATATTGGCGGTACAATGCACCTGGAGAGAGGTTGTGGGCATAGTATGGATTGGATGAGGGAGAGAAGAGTGACAATTTTGTAGAGAAAGGAACGATATCACGTCATGGAGGCATCATGTAGCCCTGCTCTCTGGGCCATACCTGCCACACACGTAATTTCATTATTGCCCTTCCAATAATAAGTGCCTTGAATTTTGGGAATCAGTTTTGGAATCTTGTATGAATCCCGTGGGCTCCTATGGCCTCATCTTCGCCCCCTGGTTCTCAAGCTGTCTCCTTCTCCCGCTCATTGTATGTATCCTTTCTGAGTCTTTTCTTTCATATTTTCTTTCTTTCCCTTCATTTCCTCACCTACCAAACTCACCCTCCCCCATTTATGTTCCCATCCTCTTCTTCTCTTCTAACTACATATGGTGAGTATAGAAATTACATAATTCCTTTTTCAATATTAAAAAATTAGCTAAATTTTAAAAAAATTCGTGTCGTTTTTTCCCTAAAAACAGTCCTTTTAATTTTCATTACTATTATTTGAATTTAAAAGATTTGTATTGACGACCTGGATCATTACAAGCGGGATAAAACTGTGACTTCTTGCTTTTTATGTAACTAAACTAAAATATCATTTACTCCTTTTGATTATTTGTATTGGTACAAAAAGCCCCAGATCTGGTCCCTGCCTTAAAAGAGATGTCACATCTCAAGTTCAAACTACTGTTTGGATAGAAATCAAATTATAATTTTAAAAGTATTTTTACGGTATACGAAGTAAATACGTGAAGGAGTTTGTCTCGTTCCGTAGAGAATGACTTTTAGGTGCTTCCAAACACCCTTTTATACATACGGGTTTGTACGTTAAATATTTGTGCATGTTATATTTTGATCCTCATGGAGAACAATTATTTGCATTGAAAACTATTTTCTTAATGAAAAATTCCTTGATTTTTAGAGACAAAGTAAAAAATATTTTATATTTAGAATTAAATTAAATTTCTATGTTAATTCTTATGTTTAGAATGAGAGAGCATAGAATATCATCACTTGAAATAAATTACTCCTCCGTTCATAAATATAAAACCCATTTTGTAGTGTAATTTACATTATAAAATAGATTTTATATTTAAGATCGGAGGAATATATTATTTATGATTATAAACACCACCTCGTTGCTTTTAAAAAAAAAAAATTACACACACACATACAAGTCATCAAGATCTCTCCTTTTCTTTTCCTAACACAATACTATTAAATGAGAGAAGTTTTATATATGTTATTATTGACATCATAATAAAAACAGTGACTCTCTCTCTCTCTCTCTCTCTCTCAAAAAAGGTGAGAAGTTCTCTCAAAATTTCTCTCATTCAAACTTGAACTTATAGAAATGGGCATTTTTATCAAAATGCTACACATAGTCAAATAAATTATCAAGTTATCATTTGATGAGAACTGTTTCTCAAAATTCTACTCCTCTATTTCTAAATGTAAATGTAAAATTTATTTTGCAATATAAATTACATTTCAAAATAACTTTTATACATAGGACCCGAAGGGTATATTAAAATTCTGTTTTTGCCGGACATAAAACTCGTTCTTCCAGCAAACAGCTTTATTGAATACTTCTCACCATGTGGCATGTTGACAATTTACCTTACTGTTTGTAGCATCGTGAAGACTTTCTCGTAAGCCTTTTCAAAATTTCTCTTACAATCTTTTCCCAAGAGAAAATTATCATCTAAGGAGACAGATGATTGCAACTATAAACCGTTTGATTAAATTTACTAATTTGTGAAAGTTTTAATGAACCTAGACCGTTGCAATTTTATCAAATTGGCTCAAAACCAAAACAATGGCATAATGGAAAAGAATCAAATCCAATAGAGGCCTTTGTCAGAGTTTGCTGCGGCCCTTGAGTTCCTGACTTTCAAAAGAAAAGGAAGGTTTTTTTTTTCCCATTACATTCAATTTAAACCCATACAAATTTAATTTAAATTTGAGACCTCATTCAAATGCGAGGAATGGCTCTGCCACTAATCAATCTATCATAAAAAAAAAAAAAAGGAGAAGGTTGTTAAATGGTCACATTGATAAGAAAAGAAGGAAATTATGATTAAGATGAGAGGAAGCATGTGTTAGGTTGGATGATGAGGACCAAGAACTGTTTTTTTTAATTTGATCTGATTTTTTTATTTTTTATTTTAATTTTTTGGTGGTTCCAAACTTGGATAATCTCTAGGTTGCACATGTTGAAACCTTAGTGGTGGCAGAGAGCACATTCATAGGAACCAATAATAATAATAAGAGTGTATAAAAATATAATTGGAATGGAAGTACTAATTAATATCTTAGGGATGAAGTAAATTTGGGGATAAGAATCAAATACTAAATTGCAATGAAAGCATTCAGATTTGTCAGAGACTGAACCGCCCATGTGCTGCTGCCTCTGAATTCTGATCCTAATTTGTACCATTCAAGTAATTTTCAATGCAGCTACCCCCGCAACCATGGTTCGTTGTTTTTTTAAAAAATAATTGTGGTGTTCCCATTTCACAGGACAAATGGAGCCGCCCCAATTATTAATTTTTACTCCTTTTTTTTTTACATTCACCTTTTTTCTTGTTTGTTTTTGCCATAGGTCCCATTGTTTTCTTTTCATAAAATGAAGACACACAGTCTCGTATTTTACATCAGATTCTCATTCTCAGATGGTGTTTGTGTGTCAACACACACACACACACACACAATGGACATCAAATTATTTGAATATTGCATCCCTCGTGGTGTCAAGAATCTTACTGAAATTATTCTGCAAAGTCTTTATATATAGTTCAAATATTTCTTTGTTTTTGGGCCTGAATTTTTGCTTTGGAAAATGATTATCAGCCTGCCCATTTGGTTGGGCTCAAACTCAGCCCAATTAGAGATTCGGGCATTTGTGATGAAAGGGAAATTTTTTGGGCCAGAAAAGCCCAAGGTTTGAGCTTCCCGCGGCCCCTCATTTTGGGGGGGGGGAGGCTTGACCCAAAATTGAATCCCGTATTGGAATTAGCGTTTAGCAGTCGTGAGTGATTATTTAGTGCATGCTTGGTTTCCAACAGAAAACCAAACACACCATTGATGAAAGGAAGAGCTATTTAGCTTACAGTTAGGGCTATCTTGGGATGATCTCTGTGCCACTAGCAAAGATGAATGAAGAACAGATCAGACATACCCAACAAACGATATTATAGCAAAATGATACTCCTCCGGTCCTTAATATAGGACCCAATTGTTGAGTTGGTTTTGGTCTTAAATATAAGACCCATTTCTCATATTTATTAATTTTCTCTAAATTACCCCTATGAATATTCCCTCAACCATAATCAAGTAGAAGAGAGAGGGGGTATTAAGGAAGATGATTATGGTATCTTAGGAAAAACGTGTCACATTTATTATAATTAACTAACTTACCTAACTTCCTTAATATAATCAAATTAGTTAAATGGGTCTTATATTAAGGACCGGAGGAGTATATATATATATATATATATATATAATACTTAACTCATTTTGTGGACGGTTGATGGTTGATAAGGACTAATGACCTTATCTTACAAACCTCAAGACCTCAAAAACCTTATTTTACAAACCTCAACGGCTCTACTTTCAAGTCCTGTTGAATGGGCCTGGAGTAGTCTTCGGAGCATAAAAACTTGCATTTGCTGCAACAGTTGAGGTCTTTATGGGGAGGTTTTGGTTGATTTTGAATCCATTATTGGGAGGCATTCTTGAGGATTAGCATAGAAATAATCCTCCAGCTTGGGTTTTACTGGAAACAGGGATCTTACTGTTGGACCACCTCTTCTGTTAGCATGAACTTCCTTCACAGCTTTAGCAAATTCATCCCAGCTCAGCTTCCCCATCTTGTATTGATCTATTAGACGCACTAGAATATACCTGTTTGGAGTTATAGTGGTTCTAAACCCCAAGTACCTGCAGAATAATTGGTCTCATTATATGAATTTGGTCAAAAAGTTCCGAGAAAAAAATTATAGATAAGTCCCAGGAAAAAAATTGATTACTAACACATCTTCCGGAGAACCTGTCTAAAAACACACAAGATAAGTTGTAAATTTCTTGGTTTGATTCATAAATGTTGCAGGAGGACTTGTCAAACAATATCAGTTAAATTCTAAACCAATGAATTTGGATTTTTTTTTTTTTTTTAAACATGTCCTCCTATGATACTTACGAGTAAAATTTAGAAATTTACAACTTATCCCATCTGTTTTTACAGAAATTCCCTAAAACCCTATTAGTAATAAGTCAAATTCAAGGATCTATTAATGATTAACCGCGATCTATGCGTGATTTTCCCAAATTCTTAGGTGATTTCATAAGATGTTACCTTCTGTGGCCTTCAACAACTTTAGCCATGTTGCCAGGAAAGGTAGGTATAAAAATGTCACTTTCTATTGAGACAACGTAATCCAATGCTGCCATCCTGTTTGAGTGGTTTTGGAAGGACTCAAAATCAGAGGGTTCTAATAATGTTTCCTTTTTAACCTGTTTCATGGGCAAAGTATATCAGCAAAAGCATATTATACCAAAGCACATAATATACATGTTAAGTTCAATCATGATTTTACCATATTTGGGAAAGCTTTTCTTAGAGGTACCATTCTTCTTTCTCCCCCATATATATCCCCAGCTGCTATGTATATTTGCATTTGAGGGTCAATGTCTAATGCCCTTAATGTCAGAGCAGTTTCCTCTGGAGTTAAAGGGCATAAACCATTTTGCCTTTTTCTTTGAGGGTCTATTTCCTTCTCTTTCCACCATGGATATGCGTACCTGAAAAAACAAAACTCCTAAAATGACTCTAATCTAAAAGATAAGCAAATTAAATTGATCATACATGAAACTTTTTCTTTAACAAGGGCTATTTTGGAACAGATTTTTGTGGATCTTTATTGTATATTTTGTGAGCGTGAAGGATCTTTGTGCTGACCTCATTTCTGTCAGTACTTCCCTTTCTGTTTTATTGCAGCCTTCATAGCAACCAGAGAATGCCAACATGTCCATTTCGTATCTGAGGTGAAGAACTAAGAAAGGACCTTTTTTCCTCAGAATTCTTACAATTTTCTTCCCAACTTCTCGTATTGGAGCTGTGAATCGCAGGGCCCTGTAATTCACACGGCAGCGCAGCTTTTGAATATCCACAGGAATGCCATTGTTGGCAATCCTGGCATCAGCTTTGGAAAAATGAATCACCCCATACTTTTTAACTCGAGGAAGAATCTGTATTGTGTACACAAGATGCACATAAGATCTGTCATGCTCAAATAAGAGACATTCATGCAAAAAATGAACCTTGGGTCTTTTTTCAACAGTGAAATAAGAGATATTAGGAACTTACAGAATCATGATAGTATGACAAGTTGGACCAACTAGCTGGTGGCATAGAATAAAGGTATCTTGTCTCCAGCTTCTTCTTCTCCTCAGGAGGAAGTTCCTTCAATATTTTCACTTCATTTCTCAAAGAGCTAATGAAATAATCTACGTCGAATATGTCTTCAAAGCGACTGTGAAAATCAAAGGTACAAATAATGTTATAGAGTGATTAGAGCTCTTAGGCAATGATAAAATTTGGTCCATTTTTGAGCATAACTACCTACTGTCACGCCAAAAGGAGGTATTGTCCAGCTCAGGAACTATGAATGTTAGATTTAAATATCTAGCAATGACTGCCATATCACTTATCTGCAGCAGAAAATTATCATGATCATGAATAAAAAAAGGCTCAAGTGCCATGAAATTTATCAAAAGGGGATTCAAATTTTGCTGATATACTCACACCAGCTCGCATTTGGTTCAATCCTCCATTGGCTGACACCATCAAATAGCCATTGTTCTGGTAAACCCCTGAAGATCAACATATCATGGAGTACATGTACACTAAAAATCAACTGGTTGCTTTTTATTTTTTATTTTTTTTGCTGCAGAAGTGTGGGTATTATGGTTGGTGGAGAAAGATACAAATGATGATAGACTATTCTATTCAATCATGACCAGTCATAATGAAGTAATATGCATATATCCCCTCTTATTCTCATATTTACGCATTAAACTCACAATATTGATATCTAAATTTTTGCATGGTGGTCAGCATAAGAGTGAGGCATTCCCCTCTATGCTCTATCTTTGAATATAATTTTATGTAGTTGTTTTCATGACCACAAAGGATCCAACTTGACATGGACTAGACCATCTAAATCTATCTCCTTATTCAATCTTGATAAAAAAAGTAAGATCAACTAGTAAAATTGCAATGGACAAAAAGATCAGATCATATTCTTGAAAGAGTTGAAGATTGAAGCAGCTTACATTCTTAAAAATTTCAACGTGCATAATTGCTAAGCAATTATGGAATCTTTATAGTCTAGTAGATAAATGATGCAGGAAATTATGTACTTGTATTCATGACTACAACGGAAAAGGATCCAATTCGACATGGAATAGACCCTCTAAAGCTATCTCATTATTCAATCATTGTTACATATATATATATATATATATATGATCAAGTGGTAAAATAGCAATGGGCAAAAAGATCAGATTCATATTCTTGAAAGAGTTGAGGACTGAAGCAGCTTACATTCTTAAAAATTTGAACTTGCACAACATGAGTGGATGTGAAGCTATCATGGAATTCTTATTGTATAGCAGATAAACCAAGCAAGAATTAAAGCAAGCATATGGTGGACTCACTTTCGGGTGGACGCAAAAGGACTGGATGAGGAGAACGCAGCGATGAGATCCTTACACTCATTGTGTCATTACATGTTGTGCTCTCCAACAGAAGTATACCCACCAACAACATGGCAATGGCTACAAGCAATAGAAGTTTGATCTTAGTCAGTGAAGAAAGAGAACTTATGCAACTCCTCAGATTGTCGCCTTTAACCCAATATTCCATACTAACAAAGTTTCTGGGTTTCGCAGCTTTAATCAGAATCAACTTTTTCAATATCTCCAACTCAACACCTCCAGTATCCTTAGTCTTGTTCACTGCTACTGCAAATTTAGGCTCTCCATTACCACCAATCTTTTCTTTCTCCATCTTCATCTTCACTTCCCTTCTCTCTACATGTAAAACCCAGAAAGTTTATGCATACTTGATGAATAAATGTTAAGCTTCATATTACAGCTTCGACTAAGCTTAGAAAAAGTGGTCTCCTCGCCAGCTTTACCCTCAAGCTGGTTCTAGGAGCCACCCTCCTTGCATTGTTGTGTTAAATGCTTTTATATATAATAAATTAATTTTAAACGTGTGTGTGTTTCATTTACTTTTTAGATAACGAAGCATTAAAAGGCATTAAGTTATGACAAATCCTTTGTTCTCAATGTTTAAAATTGCTGAACTGATTTGAAAATGAAGTAATCTCCATATGAATAAATATGATATTAATATTAAAAGACTAAGGAGGATGTCTCTCAATCCTTTTTCTTAATATTAATAAATATGCTAACATCGTGTAATTATGGTGCAATGAATTGTCGATGAGAAATGACAAGTTTGAAAGCTTATCAGTAATTAGGTTACAGGGAAGCTATGTTAACATAGTAATTACAACATGAATAGACACATGATGGTCTTTTAGTTTCTTGACGAGAATCTATATAATAACTTCAATAGTGGCTCTTCAGAATATCAGCAGAGACCAAAACATGTTGGCAGATATCTGAAGGCGATGAGTGGACCATGGGTCTTCAAATCCTGAGTAGAGAAAGTGTGGAATTGCTAGCAGCTCCTTCCCTCGTAGCGTAGTTGTACTTTTTCCTTCCGATGTACTACCTACGGTCCTAATTATGAGACCCAGTTGACTTATTTGAGGAGATTAAGGAAGTAAATTAAGTTAGTTATTTGTAATAAATAAGTGTTGTCATTCCTAAAATATCCTTGCTAATTAAGTGTATTGGCTAGAACTATCATTATTAGAAGAACTATCTTGGAAAAAAATGCATAAATATGAGAGAAAAAATGGATTGGGGTCTTATAATTAGGACCAAACAAAAAGCCAAATGAGATCTTATATTAAGGACCGGAGGTAATATCAAAAAATATATAATAACTTCAATATAGTTCTATCATTTGGGCTTCTTTAGTTTATTATACTACATCTAGTTCTTAATATAAAAGCTAGTTGGGGGTTGAATTTAGTATGTTAATCCACTTTGTCTTCTGTCTTTTTCTAAAATATCCCTATTTATTGATTGTAAGGGGTTCATACCAAGGAATAATTCAAATCATCTAATGCACATGATTGAAAAAGATATTTTAGAAAAACCAACACGTAATTATGACATATAACCAAATTAACTAATTTTCTTAATATTTCTAAATTAGTTATCTAGTTATTATGACTGGAGATGGTATATATATTGTTGTGATTGCGACTAATTGTTGTCTTCTTCATTTTCCTTATGATTTCATTTTGTAATTCTATGACGAAAGTGTTACGCACCATGAAACACGTTAATTTTCGTGTTTGGATCAATAATTTGTAATACATTATAATAATAAATTTAAGAGTTAATTAATTCAAGCAGAAAAAAAATTAAAACTTATTGTCACTATCACGATCACAAATTCAAATCAATTTAATTTGATTGGAGGCGTAGTTATGTTATATATCTTGACATTTTGCATTTAAAGATGTCAAAGTTGCTTAATTTCTTTGACATGGACATGCATGGTGGATTTAACTTCCAAGATGTGGATATGGGTGATGCCTGAATACTGGATAGCATTTAAAATTTATCAATAATGAATTTTTGTTTCATTTTCTTTTTTTGGAACTTAGCTACAAATAATAAAATAAGGCTGATTCATAATAATACCCAAGATTCATATATTATTGCAGGGTCAATTTCCCCTTGGCCTTTGCAAAGTTACAACAATATATCCCATACACATAAAAAAGGCTGATTCGTAATAACAGAAAAAAAAAATACTGACAAAAATATCTTATAATACATCTTTGAAACCAAGTTCTTCTTCTCTCCTTCTCTGAAAAAACCTGAAAAATGTGTTAATTCATAAAATTCGTCTGGACTTGACGTTCAAAAACTTGAGAAAAACTGAAAAATCTGGAGCCTTGGAACCCAGTTCATCATCAATGTGAGGAAGCATCAAGTTGTGGCAAACACTCTTGTGGATTAGTATAGAAGTAGTCCTCAAGCTTGGGTTTACCAGGAACCACTGTTCTTGTAGTAGGATTGCCTATATGATCTGCATGAGTTGCCTTCACTAAACTGGAGAATTGTTCCCGCTTCAATGTCCCATTTTTATACTGGTCTATCAGCCCCACCAGAACTTTTCTGTCTAAAATTATTGTTTTCCTGAATCCCAAGTACCTGAAACCACAAACATATATATACACACACTTAAATCTCTTCCTGTATAGTTTAGCCTAGAATATATGTTTACTGGGCCAAAAAACTGAACCTTCTGTGGCCTTCAACAAGTTCTGCCATGTGGCCCTTGAAAGAAGGAACAAAAATGTCACTTTCTATAGAGACATAGTAATCCAGTGCTGCCATCTGGTTTGAGTGATTTTGGAATGGTTCAAGTTCTGATGCTTCCAATAGTGTCTCCTTTTTAACCTGCATTGAGGCACATACACATGTATATTTACACAGGGAAGATGATTAGCAAGTGATGCTTAACAGTTGCAGAAATGAAAATATTATATAATACTAACCAAGTTCGGAAAAGCTTGTTTGAGGGTTTTCATCCTTCTCTCAGATTTGTATATATTCCCAGCTGCAATGTAAACTTGAATGTTTGGATCAATTCCCAATGCTTGAAGTGTTAGAGTCGTTTCTTCTGGGGTTAAAGGACACAAACCATCTCTCCTTTTCTTCTCTGAGTCTATCTCTTTCTCTTTCCACCATGGAAAAGCATACCTTAATCCCCCCCCCAAAAAAAAAGATTTTTTTTTCGTTAAACAGATCAAAACATCATGTGAAAGCAGTGATAAAGATTCAAATCACAAGAGGGGGAAGATTGCCAACCTCATTTGTGTTAACTCATCAATCTCTTGCTGGTTGCAGCCTTCATTGCAACCAGAGAAAGCAATCATATCCATTTCATATCTGAGATGAAGAGACAAGAAAGGCCCTCTCTCTTTAAGAATCCTAATAATCTTCTTAGCTACTTGCTCAATTGGAGGAGTAAATCTCAGAGCTTGGTAGTTCACTCTGCACCTTAGTCTCTGAACTTCCTCAGGAATCCCATTGTTTGCTAGCCTTGCATCTGTTTTTGTGAAGTGCACTACCCCATATGTCTTTATGCGAGGTAGAATCTGCATATATTAATAACATACAACAATGTCAGAACCTAATCTCCAAAAATTTTTTCGTTCTAAGTTCTGTGTATGCGTAGGGTACATACCACTCCATAGTAATAAGTCATGTTAGACCAACTAATGGGTGGCATTGAATAGAGGGACTCTGTTTCAATCTTTTGCTTCATCTGGGGAGGCAGCTCTTTCAGTATCTGAACTTCATCTCTCAGTGAATTTACGAAATAATCCACATCAAATATATCTTGGAATTGGCTGCCATGTGAACCAAGATTTTCAAAGGGGTCATTTCTGTGGTAGTTGTATTATGCCTCTAATTTTCTTACTGTTGCTGCAGAAAAAGCTTTTCAGGACTGAAATGTCAACAAAGCATTCTGATGAAATTTCAGACTCACCTGTGGTCATTCCAGAAGGAGGTATTATCCAGTTCAGGAACTATAAAGGTGACATTCAAATATCTGGCAATGGCAACCATGTCACAGATCTGCAGCACAAATATATACACATATATTTATATATATCACCCAGAATGAGAAAAAGAGAGCGAAG